AGACAGTTTTAAAAGATAGTCAAGTGACATTAGAAAAACAATTGGCTCTGTTCAGATTGCTCACTTCCTTCCTTCCTTCCTTCCTTCCTTCCTTCCTTCCTTCCTTCCTTCCTTCCTTCCTTCCTTCCTTCCTTTTTTCTTTCCTTTTTGAGACAGGACTCACTATGTGGCCCTGGCTACCCTGGAACTCATTATGTAGACCATGCTGGCCTCAGAGATCCACCTGCCTCTGCCTCCCGAGTGCTGGGATTAAAGGCCTGTACCACCACAAGTGGCTTTCAGACTTCATTTTATAGACTTACTGCCCTTAAATAATGAACAAATTAATGAAATCAATGCTACTTCTGTGCTTCAGGACCAAAAATTAATCCACATAGCTTGCTCACTTCTAAGGTTACTAGAACATTTTGGACAAACAAAATCAGGGACCAAAATGGAATTCGTCAGAGGCAAGGAAGATGGATTTAAGATTAAAATAGCAACTCTACCTGTTCTGGGACCCTAGAAACATGAAACCTTAGTTTCATCTGCAAAACAGAAAGCCTCCCAGTTTGGGGGAATAAATGAGGTAATGAAGCAAGGCAGCTAATCCAGACGAACAAAACACAGCCTCAATAGTATCTAATTTGTAGACTTCCAGCTTCTGGTATCTATTTAGTCAAGACAGCTTACCTTTCCCAGGAAAATGATGAAGTTTCCAAAGCAGTTAACAGACATGAGATGACTTGAATTCTTAGATATGATTTTGTGTGCATCTTCTGCTGATGTACAAAAATCAGTCCCATTAATGGCAGCTGCAGTGTATGCATTCTAGAACAAAACGCAGCAGGTAGGAATACGATGGCTCCAATCACTGTAAGTATCATTTTAAGATGACAGAATGACAACACAGAATATGTGGCTGTAAACCTAGTGTCTTCACCCAAAACAAACACGTTCAAAGTCTCTTTCAGTTTCTGATCATATTCAGATATATTTTCAAACTCTTTGGTAAATGGGAAAGTATTTCTCATCAATATGGCAGGTTAAATGTCCCACCGCAAACATGGAAACAATGAGTAAGCATGAGTTATTTTTTAATACACAGCAGAGTTCAAGGACAGGAAAGGGAGGGACTCAAAAGCTAAACCCAAGGCTGCAGGTGGTATGGAATTAGGAAGGGTTTCTGGAATCAGGGTCCCTGGGGCCTGAGAGATAGTGTTGGTTGTCACTAGAGAACTGCGTTTCCTGTAGAAACGAAGATTCATAATTCAAAGTCAACCATCCTCTCTGAAAAGTGCTTTAAAAAAATAATGTACTGTGTACCCAAGATAGTTGACGTATTTGGGGTCTGGGCAAGAACAAAACCAAATCATTCCCCCAGGGGATGGTGGAGTTCTGAAACTACCGCTCTGACTGAAGCGGGCTCCTGGAACAGGACAGAGGCAGGAAGATGCATAACAAACAGGACTCTACGCTGAGAGCAGTGGGCAAAGCGGCAGACAGGAAAGAGGCATGCCGAAGGCACTCAGAGATTGAAAGCAGAGTAGGATGGAGTGAAAAAGGAAGAAACAGTGGAAAAACTGAATAGAAATAAAAAAAAAAACCCAAAACATTTTTTAAATTATATATATTTGGCTTTTGCCTTTATGTAAGCATATTATGTTGTTTTGTGGCTTCTAAAATTTTAATTTTTAGTAACTGTCATTTCTATAGGGATGTGTTGATGTATGTGTGGGAAGATACACTTGAACTTAGCCAAGAACTCAAGAAGTGGCCATTTGAAATATTATGCTGTTGTAAATATGTAGTGAATGTCTTAATTTCCTGATTTTAGATACTTTCTTTTTTTTTTTCTTCCCCCACCCCCACACAAGGTTTCTCTGTGTAGCAAAGCCCTGGCTGTCTTGGACTTACTTTGTTGACCAGGCCAGCCTCAAATTCACAGATATCCACCTGCCTCTGCCTCCTGAGTACTGGATTAAAGGCATGTACCACCACGCCTTGCTTTAGATAGTTTTTTAAGACTAAATTTCCAAAAATAAGATTACTAAGTGTGTGTGTATATATGTGCGTTTAGAATGCAGATCTGTTCTCACATAGTGCAGACTGGCCCCAACCTGGACCTTCCTATCCTCTTGCATCTTCCTCTCAAATGCTGAGCTTTTCTGCTTGGGGAATAACCCTCGGTTTATGTGGTGTTTGGAACTGAATTCAGGCCTTCTTGTGTGCTAGGCCAGCACTCTAGCCACTGAATTGTTTCCCTAGCTCAGGCTCCTTCTTTCATAGACTGGAAACCAAGATGAGGGCACTTTCCCAAAGCCCCCTGATGAGCCAGTGAGACAAAGAATCTTTTCTTTAAATTCCAACTGTCTGGATTTTACACTCATCAGTTTTCATTAGGCCAAAACTCAATTTAAGAGCATGGTGGTTACGGGAAGCACAAGGCCTGAAGTCCAACTATCTCTGGGCTCAAATCCCAGCTCTTGCAGTGAGGAGATACTGGGCATGGGCGGGTGACCAGCCTCTCTGAGCTCCTCTTCCTTACCATTGAAGGGGAGGCAGAGCACGTACTGATGGCAGGATTAAAGTCATATTCCTGAGGAGCTCCGCGTCTGGCAATGACAAGTGCATGGAGGCTGGTCACTCTCATCTAGCCGGAGCTCTCCAAGGATGACATCATTTACCACTGAGCACGGATCAGCTCCGTAAGCATCTGGGAGGCATAGGAAAGACCTATGTTGTCTTTATCAGGCTTCTTCAACATCACGGGAATTCAGGGGCCACGTGTCTGAGAGTATATCCAGTGGCCAGTGTGGTCACCATGGGCCTCTCCATCTTTACTTCCTCTCTTTCTTTATTTAGGTTCTAACCCAAGCCCACAGGCCCAGCACATTCCCTTTCTGAACTGACTCCTAGCGGACATCCCAAGTCATATGGAGACGGGTAGGTTGGGGTTTCGTTTTGTTTTTTTGAGGGAGGCTTTTCTCCCTGAAACCCACAGCCTTGCCTCACACCCAATTTAGTGCCATTCCTCATTCATAAGCATCAAAAATAGACTTTGTTCCTCTGCTAAGATGATTAAAGGTTAAATGGTACATTTTCATGCTGTGTCAATTGCACAAGTTTCAAGGAGGCTCATAACCACATATCTTTTCTTTAACATCTCATGGCCCACGGAAAGAGAAGCTTAAAACCACGCTGACAGGGAAATTACATATTCCTTCCCGAAGTGACAGCAGTGCTAGCATTTTAGCACGAGATTCAACCCCCAGTGCCACATCTAGACCTAGATTAATGACTGGATGAATGAGTTGGGGAGGGCAGCATCACCCTAGACTCAGGGTACAGACTAAGCATTCTGCTGTTTCAGCGTTAGTGGTCCCACACTTAAGCTGAGTAGAAGGGGCTTCCTTGGCAGGCATCTGGAGGACGGGAGGACGGACCGCACTAGACTGTTCACAGTGCGCATGCGTCTGAGCTGACAGCTTCCGATCCATGCGCTAAGGCGGCCAAGGAGCCTGAGGGTCACTTGTGAAGACGACTACGAAGCCAACATTTTGTGTAGCTCATGAAAATGATTAGGGGAGGCACCCCTTTCCCCTGTGGCTAACCTTTCGGCAAGGAAAAGAGTGGGTAATGGTTAAACCGCTCTAAGTTGATGACCACATGAAATTCACGGGGTGAATTTGAAATAGGGTCTCATGCCTCTGTTCTCAAACTTACTCTATATCTAGGGTGACTTTGCACTTATGATCTCCTGCTTCTACCCCCCCCCCCAAGTGCTGGGATTTTCTGTGCTAGCACTTTCTGTACAAGCAGGTACTCTACAAACCAGCCTACATCTCTAGCCTGGGTCAAAGGGTTTAAGATTTGACTTTCTATGATGTACCTTAGAAAAAGAGAGAGAGAGAGAGAAGCAGGTGAAATGAGGGCAGGATTTGAAGATCAGAGGGAGAATTTGCTGCCTGAGGACCACAGCACCCAAGTTTATTCTAAGTTTTCTGAGTCACTTAAGAACTAACAAAGGCTATATATAAGACAGTGGTTCTCAACCTGTGGGGAACGGTGTGTGTATGTGTGTGCATCAAACTACCTTCCACAGGGGCTGCATATCAGATACCCTGAATATTAGATGCTTACATTACAATTCACAACAAGCAAAATGACAGTTATAAAGTAGCAACAAGAATAATTTTAGGGTTGAAGGGTCACCACGACATGAGGAAGTGTACTAAAGGGTCACAGCATCAGGAAGGTTGGGAACCGCCGCCTAAGAGAAATAAGCCAGGGATTCTGGCTGAAAACCATCATAGCTCCGCAAGACCTTCCCACACAAGCCATCATGCCCACAGGGCCCTGCGACACTCCGGGTCACTGTGGTGTGACCACACATGCCTGAGCGCGCTGGCTCAGGCCTAGTGACAAACCAGAATCTGGCCCACAGTCAAGACTTTCTCCCCAGGGCACAGATGCCAGGACCAGGATGCTCTGCGTCTGAGCACCACCACCCGAGCAGATGTCTCGTGGTGTGTCCCCAAACAGCCTGGTGCAAACCTGAAGGGAGCTTCCTAGCTCCTATGTGTGGCCTTTAAACAGTTTCTTCTCCAGGCAGGTGTGCAGCTTGTATGCGGCAGCACATACCGACACAAATGTCCATTCAGTACATAGTATTGTGCCATGTTGCAGGCACTCTTCCTGACTCATTTCATCCTCCTAGCCTCAGGACAGTAAGGCAGCTGGGATCACCCAAGCCCAACGGGGCTAGATGGCATGCCAAGACATACACTCGAGGCAGGTGTTACACGGAGAGGACCTTTGCTCACCCAGGCCCATCTGCAGGAAAGCATTTACACTGAGGTGTGCTTTGTGCATTTCCTTCAGGAAAGCAGTGTGGCGTTCTTGGGAGGTCTTCCTTTAAGACGTGGCAGGACAATTTTGTAGAAGGAGGCTGCATTCTAAAACCAGTTAACTCCTAAAGCCTGCAGAGTAACCTCTGCCAGATCTTGCCTCTTCTCTTTTGGGCTTTGTTAAAAAAAAAAAAAAAAAAAAAAAAAAAAAAAGACACCTGCTGGCTTTAAAGTTTTGCATTAAGGACTATAAAGTTTGTCTGAAGAGATGGCTCAGTGGTTAAGAGCACTGGCTGCTCTTACAGAGGAGTGGAGTTTGGTTCCTGGCACACACCTGGTGTGTCTGGGAACTCCAGCTCTAATGCTAACCTGATGCTCTCTTCTGGCTTCGGCAGGCGTCAGCCGTGCGTGTGGTGCACAGACTTATATGCAGGAAAACATTCAGACACAGAAGCAGAGCGTGCTCACACACTTCTGCAATTCCAGGGCAGGAGAGATCGGCACAGACAGGAAGGTCACTGGGGCTTGCTGGCCACCAGACAGTTCCAGATTCAGGAAATGGCCCTGTCCTGTGGAACATGGTGGAGAGTGGAAAAGCAGGACACTGAATGTCCTTCTCAGGACCTCATGAAGATATCTGTGTGCGTGCACACACACACCACACAGTACTTTTTTCCCTTCCTAGTGGACCAGGCACTCTCTTCTGATCACATTACTTTACTCAGTAAAACGATCAGCGCAGGCCCTATTCCCCTTTAATAAACATTCTAACCATTGGGGTATTAGGTAACAGAAAAGGCTAGATTAATTCTTTATTTAGAAAAACTTCTCCAAGAATATTAACACATAGAAAGGGAATCCTTAAATCAAAACTGAAGCTTGCACAGCCTGGCCTTTAGTCCCCTGTCCCCCGAGAGCACCCATCTCCCCCCTCCCAAACTAAACCGGCTGCTTCTTTTTGATGGCAGAGCTGCTGTTGAC